ATTGTGGACTGGGAAAATGGGATTTACTCACTGGGACTGGGATTTAGCCACTGGGAATGGGATGAACAATTATAAAATGGGAATGGGATTTCTTTTCTTCAGGGGTCCTTGCTCCAATATTTTGAAATAGAAAAATAAAATTTCGTAGCAATAGACCTTGCACTCCTCAATAGAGACCGTGAAATCAGTATTTTTCTCCTTCGCGCCCGCGGTCTAGCTACCAGGCTTACACGGTTGCATAGTTACGTTCTGTCAGTTTTCCCGGTCAGCGGACAAGTTCTGCAAGTTTGTATATGGCGGGAAGATATTGAGAAGGGAAGATAAAAATGGCTTCGGAAAAGGTTTCTCGCAAAATGGTGCTAGAAATCAAGTACGTCAATGCAAATAATGCCGTTATACACACCGAAAATTTGGTAACTGGGATTTTGGCAAAAATTAGCCTGGGAACTGGGATTTGGGCCAAATTTAGGCTGGAAACTGGGATTTGGTACCCCCCCTTCACGACCCTCTTAAACGTTTTCTCTGCGGCGGAACGCAGTGACATAGCAGAGAATTGTTCTTTGTAACTTAATGAGTAAAAACCAAGAGCCTATTATGGCTCTTGGTAAAAACCTTAGACGATTCACCTCTCAGTATATCAGTTTAAGACCGTTCGTCCGGGGAGTCAGTGGAATATCCAAATATAGGCCTTTCTGGAAACATGAAAACGATTCGCTTTGGAGAAATACTGTCGACAGGAACTGAAAGAGCATATTAAAATAAGGTAATCTGAAAATGTTCAGTCGTATATATACCTCAAAAGTAGTGGTGGCAATGACCGCCGAAAATTAGAAGGATTTGTATAGGAAAAACGGGCAACTCTTGCCACCCAGTCGCGGCTGAATTTTTTCTTAGTGGAGGAAATCCTATGTGGAGGAGTAAATTCTGTACGTCTGCCGAGCGAGGTAAAACAAATAACGAACCCTTGTAAAAACACCGTTACAAGGACAAACAATAATCACTCTAATGCATGATAATGAACAATTTGTGGGTGTGCTTTTCGCATTGAAGAAAGCAGACATCTATTAAAGACTCTATATAAAAGCCTTTTTATCTGTGAAGCGGGCATTAAATTTCGTCATATTATCTTATAAATATTAAATCAGAAAGGTCATGAGGAAATGATAGGAAATGATATTGATAAGTCGGAATGTCTGACATCCGTTATAAGGACTTCTTCCCCGCTGTTTCTTGATAAAGGAAATCTTAAGAACGAGAAAAGGAAAGTATTTGAATTAGTTGAATTTTGATCTTTAGGAGAAGTGAATAGCCATTTTAGCGACCTTCGCACGCCTTTTTAAAACTGTTAAAACAGGCAGAAATCAGAAGTGAGAAGCAAGGGACAAAAAAAAAAAAACAGCAAAAAAAATATCAAATATATAATAATGAATATCTTCTGAAGTCTGATCTACATTCAGTGAATTTAATTTAATTTAATTTTTATTCTGTACGTTTTGAATTTTGGGACACAAAACTGCTATTCCTGAGTTAGTTTCACAGTCTACTTCTCTTTGCTCCTTTGTTTATACTCATTGACAGTAGGCCTGGTAGGCTCCTGTCATTGTTTAAAAGCGTTTGCTTTTCAGTTTCAAATGTTGAGACAGAATTCATCAGGAAATTGAGTAGTTTTAATTTTCAGTGGACAAAAACCTTGTACCAGAATAATTTAAACAATATCAAATTCTTTTTATACATTTTCTCAAGGGCTATAGAAATAATAAGTTATCTGTAATAACACCAAAGACTATTTCTCATGGAATCCCGAGAAATTAAATATCAAATTTAACAAGAAGTGTGAAAACACAGGTAAAATTATAAAAATTACTTGTGAAAGATGACAGTTTTTTGAAATTTGACATTTATTTTCTCGGGCTCTCATTAAAAATTTTCTTTGGTGTTATTACAGATAACTAATCGGGGGCACCCAACGAGAATAAAGTTCAAAACCACTTAAACATAGCATTGTTAAACTATTTTAGTATCTAAACGGTAGATAAAGGCATATTTTTATCCCCTAAAAATGTTTTATCTGTTCGGATTTCCTAGCTGAAAGTCTAGTGATCCGAAAATTATAGGGATCAAAACTTAGCTTTTCAAAAATTTCAGCCAGAAAAAGGCTCCCGAAAATTCTAGGTGACCTTTTTAGGGTAAAAATCCTTTAAAAATGGGTAATTATACCAGTTTTTAGATGTTCGAAAATCCTAGGAGAGGCAGGCAAGCAAGAAATTTTACAACAAATGTTCCGAAAATGCTAGATCTTAAATCGTCTTTCGAACAGATATTTTCCGAAAATTGTCGTTGGGTGCCCCTGACTAATCACGTCTATAGGCCTTGAAAAATGTAAAAAGAACGCGATATTGTTTAAATTATTTTGTCCGCTGAAAATTAAAATTATTCAATTTCCTGATGGATTCCGTCTTAAACTTTTTACCATTCCAAAAACCTTTTAATTCGAGGAAGAGAGCTGACAGCATAATTCCAGGGGAAATATAGGAATCAGTTTTTTTCACTTACAATATTAATCAGGAAATTTGTCCGTAAGAATGCGACGTTTTTAGGACGACATACCTTTCCTGGTAGTTTCACGAGAAATTGAACAGATAAATATGAAACCGGAAAAGTCCTCTTTAAATTAATTTTTGACGCGAGTCCTTTTTCCGCCGATTTTTTTATTTTCCATTCCTTTTAGCCAATAATTGGAGACGGAAAAGCGTCTGTTCATGCATTGAATTTCCTAATTCCTTTAACTCAAACAGGAAAACTCCTCTTAACCGGGTTCATAATCAGTAAACGAGTTTTCCATCGAATATTCTCGTTGGTTGAATGTCTATCCTTTACCGAAGTTTGAGAACGCCAAAACCAACATATCCGAAAAAACCACATCCGTCAGTTGACGCCCAATTCGCACTAAGCTCCCCTTGTTTAAGCTCCCTCTC